TCAGAAGGGGCGAATCCTGCAAAAGGTGGTGTAAACGATTTTATCGTTTTAAATTGTCCATTTGGGTCCAAATAACATGTATTTGAAGAGTACACACCCACTTTCTCTTGGCACAATTTTTGACAGCCAAAAAACCTCAAAATGTTCGGATTTTTTTCAGTTTTTCGCTTAAAACTCGAAAACGGTCCATATTTTATATGAAGAAAACTTCTTTAGTAAGTATATTAAAGAAAACACAATTCTGCGTCGATCAAAAGTGAAAAGATGAACAAACAAACAAGCAAGGAGCCACAACGCATTAAAAAAAGGTTAACTCAGTTTTTTTTAGAAAAGTTGGAAAAAATCGGTGTTCTTTGATCTTGTAAAAATTTTTCTATCGGACCGATTTTGTTTGTTCATCTTTTGATCACCGCAGAATTTTGTTTTCTTTTTCACTAAATAAGTGTTATTCATTAAATATGGACCGTTTTCGAGGTTTAAGCGAAAAACTGAAAGAACTCCAAACATTTTGAGGTTTTTTGGCTCCCAAAAGTTGTGCCGGGAAAAAAATGGTGTGCACTCTCCAAATACATGTTATTTGGAGCCAAATGGACCATTTAAAACAATAAATACTTTTACGCCACCTTTTATAGGTCAAAATTAACTGCATACTGACTATGACAAAATTAAAATAATTAAATTAGAAGAATTCCGGGGTATTGAACTTTTTAGGTAATTGTGCTGGGTTTTTGCAGAGAGTCTTCAAATTTTATTGTTTTAAGCCCCCTCCCCCCATGAATTGTTTTCCGAGATGCGGTTTGGAAGCAAAAGGTGCATAATATTCATTTGCGTCTTTTTGTGTCAGATTTTGTATACGCTTGGCAAACAAAATTTTTGAAAATGGGAAATGGGGTAATCACACTTTTTACCGTCCATGGTAGTCTAATGAAAGGTTTCAACGAAAGGGATTGGTTTCTACCACTTTCCTCCGCGACTGCTTTTAGAGATAAGAGTGACGTGGGAAGACGGAGTTGGGGGGAGGGGGGGCGGAAATGTTTTTACCTTTCAAGGTAATCTGATTAAAGGTCTCAACGAAAGGAACTGTTCCCTGTCAATTACCACCCTTTTCACCCACATTTTATCAGAGTTGGGAGCCGGGGGGGGGTTAACCGGTTCTCCTCGACCCTTTATCGTGATCGGTGATAATTTCTTATATCCTAAGAGCGTAGTGTCGGACGAGGGCACTCAACAAAGGCCGATTGGGATATCTGGGAGGAGAGCATCCACAAAGGCAAAATGGATCGTCTCACGTCTGGATACAATACAGGGGGTAGTTTAAAAAACGCTTCAACCTGTAGCGCCTACAGTTTTTGTCCGAATTCAATGCAACAAAAATGTTTTAAACTAGGTTTTAAATTATTATTATCGGGGGCATCGAATGTAACAGAAATCGTGAGAAACTTTACTGTGGTTGCTGGCTTAATTTTTTTAAATGGATTTCAGTCAATTAACTGATATGTTGCAAGTGTACCTCGCGTGCAATAAAAACCGTGCATCTGTACTGCAAACGATTCCCTAATCGATATCCTGCGAACCGCGAAAGTTTGCTAGGCCGAAAGAAAACATGAAATTTAAGGTTTAACAAGTACAAATTGTGCACAACCCTTGGTAAAGCGCATTTTTTTTAAAACACCCCTACGAAATTTCTTCCATAAATAAGAAAGTTGGCACTGTACATCCTGCACAAAACCAAATTTGAAAAATGGCGCTACATTTGCTTTATTCCAAGTGGCTATGTATCAAATTTCATTTAACTCCCTCCATAAATAAGAAAAAATTTTGAAACTGGTGTTAAATTTTCTTTTATCCCAAGTGGCTATGTATCAAATTTCATTTAAATGCCTCCATGAATAAGAAAGCACTGCGCATGCGCAAAACCAAATTTTGAAACTCGCGTTAAATTTAGTTTTATTCCAAGTGGATATGTATCAAATTTTATTTAAATTAAATGCCTAATGGTTATATTTCTTCCAAACGTCCCAATCGCCCTTTGTAGGTACTTTCCTTTGACAGTTCACTCTTAAGATATAAGGAATTATAACCAATCACGACAAGGGATCGAGGAGGATGACTATCGTTAGTATAAATTAATTCCTTTCGTTGAGACCTTTCATTAGAGTACCGTGAAGGAAAACTAGTTCCACTCCTCCCCCTTCCCCCTCCACTCCGTAGTTTGATAAGAGGACAGAAAGAAGGGCAGTAGTTTGTTCCTTTCGTTGAGGCCTTTAATTAGAATTCAATGAGAGATGAAATTAATTTTTAACCCCCCCACCCCCCTCAGGCCCCTTCGCTCATTGTTTTCGAAAAAGAGTCGCACGGGAAAGTTATATAGTTTGTACAAATCAATTTATTTCGATGAGACCTTTCATTATAATACCATGAAAGGTAGAACATGTGTTTACCCCTCCCCCCCCCCCCCCCTTTCTAAAGTTTAACTTGGCGCCATTAAAGGCATTCGTATGCAAAATCTGAGACCAATTTGTTGTCGTATGTAAAAGCTATTGCCGTTTTCTTTCAAAAACAGCATCTCAGGAAATAATTCGTGCGGGGCCCCCCCTTTTATACAGCGAAATTTGATGTCCATCTGGCACACCTTCAAGGTATAAGCTACCTACTGCAAAAAATTCCAGGACGGACGGACAAAACGCATACATGGCACATCTTTTTTAATTCTTAAAAAATTCGTTAAAAAACTGAAGAGAGAAGAGCGTAATAAATCCCAAATGAAGCGGGCAATTATCGCTCAATTACAGTGATAATTTCCCTCTATGTGAAAGATCCCGGCAATAATTTCTTATAGGCCCCGTGTCTATAGTAACAAGGCAAAATAATTTCAACGAGTGCTTTCTGTGCTAATGAGGTTTATGCTAATTTGAAATAAATCAAAGATTCTAGAAATATTGTGCCGAATTAGACTCGTTCTTTAAAATAAACCTGATAATTTTTGATGCAAGCAAGTGTTAAGTAAAAGACTGCATTTGGTTATTTCCATATTTTGTTTCAAGCACGAGCCCTTGGTCAAAATATGAAAATAGCTCATGTAGTTTTTAGACAACATGCTTTCAAAAAATGTATTATTATGATGCACTTGCGTGTAATTCCTACTTGCGAAAATTTTAGATTTTCCAACGCATGCATTTGTTTCTAAAACATTTACCTACTACCTACTACAAAACGCTTATTGTTTACTGAAGAACAATATGAATTAAATTATTTTTCATTCGAGGCGGCAATTACAAAATACGAATAGTAAAAATATAACGCGATAATAATGCCATCTTTCATATAGTGGCTGAACTACGAAACAGTACGGACTGATAAAATTTTACAATTAATGGACATGGGTGTGTGTCTGCGCTTCATTGTATTTTGTATCTCGCAATTCCAACAATTACGACAAAATGGTGCAATATATCAACAAACAAAGTATATTAGGTTCAACACTGAACCTTCTAGATCAATATCAGCTAATATGTAACTGTAATTTTGTTAAATAAAAGCAGGATTGTTGGAATGGCGATGGTCTGTTTTTGATGCGTTCCGGCGGTCTTAATGAATATAATTTGGTACTGACGTAAGAAATGCCCTTTTAATTGAGAATATATCTCATTTGATGTTTATAAACATGAATGGTCCACCACTTGCCAAATGGAAACCGGAAAAGTATTGCTTGCTTGCGAATTGCTTTGGGAAATGTTATAAATATTTGTAAAACATATATAAATATACGAATATACCTACCGACTTAAAAAAATTGCTTTATAAAAATGCAAAAAAATTGTTGTTTTTAACCCCCCCCCCCCCCAAGACAGGATCTCATTACATAAACCCTGGTTGAGTTGACGCCTGCGTATACCCTTACCATAATTTACCAATACACCACTGATTATACCTACTTTTGAAAACAGCGGACATTTTAAACCTGATGCTTTACCTACTTTAAAACTACAACGTAATAATGAAAATCAAAATAAAAGGGAAACGGAGGAGAGATTCGATCTTTTGATAACGCATTAATTACATAATATTTACTGAAAAAGTCGCACTTCATGTTTAAGGCCAATATTTTTTATTAGAGTTTATTTCATACGATCACGAACTTCCAGAAATACCCGACGCGACGATCTCTACACAAATCAGTGTGATTTGTCGATTTAAGAAGCGTAATTTTGATCTATATTCTGTGGTTTTGTTCGCACGTGACGTCACGCTAGATGCGCAAGAGCATACCGTTGTAAGTGTATCGTGGTACTAAGTGGTACAAGCTTATAAAATTTGTATTTACCCGCTCAAATCATATTCTGATTGCAAATTATATGTGGACAGTGAACACTCTACAAAATAGTAAAAGTTTAGACCTGTGACAGTTTTACTTAAAAAGGTAAGCAAAAAAAACCGTTTTTGATGTAGGTAGTTACTTAGTGCATGTTTTTAGTGCAGCTTTTAACATATTGATAGAAGTTATATGTAATAAATTTTGCACCAATGTATCAACAATTATGTAAACATAACCTATACAGCATACCAGCTTTTAAGATAAAGTCCATATACAGTTTTCAACCCCTTAAAAGCATATGCTACAAAAGTAGGTACTAACTGAAACAGCAGTGGTGGTACTAAGTGAAACAGTGTATCAGTTAGTACTACCTACTTATACCTTTTTTCCAACTAATTAGTCTGCATTTTTGCCAGATGCCTCGTAAACTAAAACCACGTAAATATGGCACAGCAACAGCTGAATCAATGTCAAATGCTGTTGATCTAGTTTTGAATCAAAACTATTCGGTAAGACAGGCAGCAGTGTGCTGTAATGTTAAATATCCAACATTGCAACGTTATGTTAAAAAGAAACGAAGTAATTTAGAAGGTAACATTAGAATGGAACCTAATTATTATCACCGACAATTGTTCAAAGACGAACACGAAGAGGTTTTAGCTCATTATTTAGAACATGCAGTAAAATGGCTTACGGATTAACGACAGTGGATGTAAGAAGGCTAGCCTTTGAGGTTGCAGTAGTTAACAATGTGACAATTCCAGAGTCCTGGAGTACATCTAAAATGGCTGGTAAGGACTGGCTAAGAGCCTTTATAAAACGCCGAAAAACTCTGAGTATCAGAAAGCCAGAAGCATGCAGTCTTGCAAGATTAACGTCGTTTAATCGACATAATGTACAAACGTTTTTTACAAATTTGCGTAATATTCTGGAGCAAAACCCTAGCTTAAGTGATGGCTCCAGAATATTTAATTTAGATGAAACTGGAACTACAACCGTCCAAAATCCAAAAAAAAATAATTGCATCGAAAGGTGTCAAGCAAGTGAACCATTGCGTTAGTCGTGAACGTAGAGAGCTAGTAACAACATGTGGCATTATATCTGGCTCGGGAACTTTCCTACCGCCTGTTTTAATATTTCCTCGGAAATATTTTAAAGCACACATGCTTGTAGGAGCACCGCCGGGTACACTGGGATTAGCAACGCCATCTGGATGGATGAACTCGGAAATTTTCATTCAGGTCTTAGACCATTTCATAAAATATTCACACTCCAGCAAAGATAATCCGAGTTTACTTATTTATGACAACCACGAGAGCCACATTTCGGTACAAATAGTAAATAAAGCTAGAGAAGCAGGGGTTAAAATTCTTACTCTACCACCGCATTGCAGCAACCGTATGCAGCCACTTGATGTGGCTGTGTATGGTCCTTTCAAAGCATATTTCAATGCAGCATGTGATAAATGGATGCTGAAAAGTCCGGGAACTCCTCTAATCGCAGAATGTGTGGCAGAAGCACACTGCAAAGCATTTACTCCAGCAAACATAATTTCTGGATTTTTTAAGACAGGAATAATGCCATTTAATCCGGATATATTTACTGATGCGGATTTTATACAATCTGAAGTTACAAATCAACCATTGAACAATCACGAAGTCGCAGGACCATCTAATACTGCAGAAGCATCTAATAGTAATTCTCCTCAACTAGATCCATCGTACATTTTGCAACGAGAAGTAACACCACCAAGGTTGATTTCACCAGAAGATATAAGAGAGCTTCCTAAATCAAACCCCAGAAAGCAGTTAAGACGAGCAAGAGCAAAAGGCAAGAGTTCTATAATAACAAATACCCCCGAAAAGCAAATATTAGAAGAAAAAGAAAATTTAAAAGCAGCCAAATTAAAGAACAAAAAAACCATCTAATACTAGATGAAGCTAAGGAAAAACCTACAAAAAAGAAAAGAAAAATAGCAATAGAAGAAAACCTAACAAGTGACGAAGAGGAAACTGTGGAGTATAAAGATTCTTCTTCAGACTGGGAGCATACACTGAGAGAAATGAGACTGTTATATTAAGAATTATAAAAACATTACAAAAAAATAGTTAAAGCAAGCAATAAAATGTTACTCAAATAAATAAATACATATTTAAACAATATTTTTTATTTCTTAGATCCAGTTTCTTAATTGAACGTTCAAATCTATTTCAATTACGAAATGATAAACAATGTTATTTAAAACAACATTTAAACTTCTTTCAAACAACATTAATGAACATTAAGTGTTAACGGTTTTGTAAATGTTAACGAAATATCTACAGTTAATTCAAATGACATTTTATGTACTTATTCTATGAACATTTTCTGTTTCATTTGAAATGAACATATGATTCGCTTAATAAATTTATAAACCTTACGATAATAATCTGCGTGATTTTGCCAACTCCCTCATTTATTCAATTAAGAACGTGGATTTTATTTCAACAGTCTCGACACTTTAAGGGTGCGGTCGAAAACTTACTACGTAAAAATACAGCAAAGCTAGCAGCGTAACCGCAGTAAAGGGGTTTTTTATTTGCTTTTACTGATATTACAATTTGTACGTTTTGAAATTTAGACCAGCTTTCAGTAAACTGTGCATTTGTGATCTTACCATAACCTTCAATATCTATCATTCATCATTCACTTTCTATTTCTATTCATGAAAATGGATACGAATGTTTTAAAAATTGTGGTAATAAATAATTTATTAGAAATCATAGATGATTCTAGTAGTTCAGATGAAGAGCTTTTTGCAATTACCGCAAATACACGGTACAAGAGAAAGGAAGCTACTCCTAGAATTGAAAATTATGTGGAAAATGTGGTACACTTATATGGAGATTCACAATTTCAATCACATTTTAGGTAAGAGAATTACATCTCCGATAGCAAAAGCCAGAACCGGTTGGTGTGCCATTATTCTTATTTTGTATAAAGTAGCTATTGATTTATTGATGTTTTTACATTTACAGAATGCAAAGGAGAACCTTTGAAGTTATTTTAGAATTAATAGCGGACAAAATTAGAGAAAGAACGGTAAAACCAGGACGACCTGCGATACCAGCTGAAAAGCAACTTCTTATAACGTTATGGGTTCTGGGAACTCCCGATTCTTATAGGTTGGACATGTTGATATGATAAATTTATATACTCATGCTAACCTATTTTAGATCAGTATGTGATCGTTTCGGTGTTGGGAAAGCTACTGCAATAGTATGTGTGAGGAACGTAGTTAGAATTTTGTACAACTATTCACACAGTTTCATTATGTGGCCAACAACTGAAAAAATTACTGCAAGTGTAGCAGCATTTAAAAATATGTCTGGTTTTCCAGGTGTAATCGGTGCAATTGACGGCACACACATCTCAATTACAGCTCCAAAAGAGCATCCAGAGGCATATGTGAACCGAAAAGGAATACATTCGATACAATTACAGGTTGTTGCATATTTGGCTACAAAGCAATATAATAGATATTTTCCAGGGTGTCTGTGATGAAAAAGGAATGTTTATACACTGCTATGCAGGGTATCCTGGTGCAGTGCATGACCAAAGGGTTTTTATGAAATCCGAAGTAGCAGAGTATTTAAAGAGTGCTGCCAAATTTCCTGGTGATGTACACTTACTAGGAGATGCTGCGTATATGTTGCATACGCATATGATGGTGCCTTACAAAGACAATGGTCACCTAACTCGAGCTCAAAAAAACTACAATTATTGTCACTCGTCCACCAGAATGGTAATTGAAAGATCATTTGGACTTCTTAAGGGAAGAATGAGAAGATTATTAGATAATCTTCCCATGATCAGAACTGACCTTATTCCACAATACATTATTGCATGCTGTGTTATACATAATATTTGCCTTTTAAAAAATGATCAGTTTCAACCTTTAGCGTTGCATACATCCGATAAGAATAACACTCAATGTGGAGTTAATGGCAATGTAGATACAAACGAAAAGGCATTGGCTAAACAAAAACGTGATGCAATTGCTGCTGCATTACCTACCCGTGAAGACATATGACATTTGACAATATAACAATACTCTTATGCACTGTAAAACATCAAAACACTTTTATTATAATAAATATCTACAAATTTTTCATTTTTATTTTGCAATTTGTTCGACCAAGAGTTTTAATAAAGCAATTGCTTCCGAGCTTTTGGCCATTCTTTCACTGTGGTGTCTTTCCCGGTCCTCTCGAATTTTCGTAAGAATGTCGACTACTTTTTTTGAGTTGGTCTCTAAATAATAAGATATGAATAATTTACATGTAAACAATAAGCACCTACTTTGGGGTGTGTTTGATAGACTAGGTCTTGTCGGTGTAGAAGGCATCGTCGCAGGCAAGTTAAGTGATGGTTCTGGGTTTTGAGAAGAGGATGCTGTTGCTACAGGTTCAACCCACGGTTTATTGCCAAATAGTTCATCCATTTTCTAAAATATCACTAAACTACATAGTATAAGAATAAACTGTACATACTTCTGTGTAAATCCACTCCTTTCTATCGTTGCCTGAAGTGTTATTGTAGTCCTTAATTTTTTTGTATTGTCGCTTAAGGGTAGCAAGTTTTGTTTGGCACTGCTTTGCTGTTACATTATATCCCTTTTTATTAATTAAAGAAGCAATCTGCTCCCAAAACAGTTTCTGTTTTATTTTACCCTTTACCAACAAATCTGATTTTGTATGATATACATCCAGCAATAATAATATTCCCTCGTGTGACCAACGGCCAGAAATATCTACAATTTACGAAAAGTATTACTTCAATATAGAATACATTTTACAATACCTTCTGTATTTTCCGAATCATTTTCATTAATCGGTATCGATAGATTGTCACTTGATGGGGACAACGGATTGTTACTGGCTGGGGACAACAGTAGATTGTCACTTGATGGGGACAACAGTACGTCTTCACTGTCATTCGGTAATTCCTGTGAACAGTTAATTCCTAATGTTTCAGTATCAGTATCCAATGATTGGCGTGTTGGATTCTTATTCCCGGGAACAGTAGAAGAGGCTTTACTGTTAATTATTGCATGTTGTAAAAGTACTGTTGCAAATGTGACATCTAAAAAAGTAAATTACAAACACATTTTAGGAATTTCAAAGTAATTTGAAGCATATTACCATTAACGGCCTTATTGTAATCCTCTTCATTCAGGAACAACTTAAATTCTTTATTAGTATCAGCATCAATTAAGGTTAACTCCATTTTAAACTGATCAGCTGTTTTGTTTACTGTCGTTTTACCACCTATTTTCGAGAAGCATTTACAGTAAAAGGTGTAAAAATTGACGCATGCGTACTTTAAATTATTCACTAAAGTTGAAGTAAATGTAGTAAGCGTCAGTAAATTTATGACCACTTATTTATGTATTCTCGGCAAACAATGCATTTGCAGTAAGTTTTCGACCGCACCCTAAATAAACCTCAAAAACACCATTGTCAGCGTTTGGGAGGAATCCGAAGCATAATTAGGTACGTTATATTTTCACGCGTCTTTTGTTAATTTGTACTAGTTACTGCCACGTGTGACGTCGTAACTGTAATCAGTTAGTGCTTGTAATGGAAGAACTTTAAATAGCTGGGGGCTTGGGGATTATTATCCCTATTTTTTCAAGGTAAAGTTGGAACTATCGCCATCCATATATTATTACCAATAAAAATAACCTTTCAGCGGTCATACGTTTGTCAGACCGTTTTTTGTTTGGCGTTTGCTTCTAAAAATTTTCTGCTGCACCTACGCATTTTTTCTAAGTTGAAACTGTCAATTGATCCTACTTTAAGGTATGTTTACCTGTGTAACCATAATTCCTACAATATGCTGTATCTTGTTCATTAATATAAAAATAGCTTCCCTGCGAAAATAAATCCCACGATAAAATATGTGGTTCAGTATCAGCATTGGTATTCAGTTCGTTTATTTTTACGGGGTATTATTTAATAAATATTTCTTGAAGTGTTGTATACATGCTTTTGTGCGTCCTCTGATAACTAAACAACCTACCAATTTGTGCTTTACATTAGGATTTTTTTAAATTATTTCTCAAGAAATTATTAACGTTGACGCTATTTACCTACATCTATACTAAATTTCAGAGGCAAGAAGTAGACGAATCTGCTTTACTCCAATGACATTAGAAAGTGTCAAAGAGTTAATTACCAAAAACTAGCGGCCAAGAATGATCTTTTGGTCAAAATTGAAACGAATATAAACAATTAATAGCTATGCCAATTATTAATACCAAACGAAAATGAATCTAAACCTGATAAACTTACAAGAGTTGACGTAAGAGTATAACTAGAGCTTTCAAAAGAAACTATTGTACAGATTCATTTGTTTAGAACATTTCCTCGACCAGAAAAACCCCTTTTTTTTAAATTTCCGAGCGGATTATGAGATAAATTATAATGAACTAGCTTCGCCATCAACTCAAGGCCAAAACATCTGCAGAGAGCCCACGATTATATTTAACTGACGATGATACAACAAACATAGTTTAAAAGTTTTTGAAAGCTTCTCCTAAAAGGCAATGGCTTTGTCGTGCGAACCCGAAATGCTAAAAAGCTTGCAGAAATTTTATAACTTAAATTTAAAGCAATTTTAGAAAAAACTGTTTCGGCGGAAATATTATTTTTAACGGCCTACCAAAATCAAAAAAAACTAACCCAAGGCCTTCGCAGTCAATTATCATATATTCCTAATAAGTGGAGTTATGTGTCAGACACCAGGAATTTTTCTCAATTTTTTTTTAACAATTACATTGCACGTAACATCGAACACAGAGGGGCGCTAACAAGAAGTAAACCAAAACATTTTTTTTTTGTGCATAAAGACAATATTTTAACTTTAATTTTCATTTTTTATCTATTTTGTATATTTGTAGTTATTTTTGTCAAAAATATTGATTTAAAATGCAGATCGTATAGATATGTTTAAATTAAATTGATATTTATAATTTATTTTAGAGAAAATTTAATTCCATTGGACTTCGAAATTTGTTGTTGAAAAATTATGCGAATT